TTTTTTATTTAAATGCACACAATTTCTCTTGTTGGCAACGGGGCTGGACCTTCCTTTCACAAACAGGAGTTCAATGGCGTTCCATCAGCGTCAGACTGGTGCAATAGGAGAATCCAGTCCATGCACCCCCCCTCCCCTCCTATTTTCCAACCCGCTCTCGTCAGGATTCCTTTGTTTTATTCCGGGCCGCATTGCTCACTCCTCTTTGAAATCTCAGGCAGGTCACTTGAACTTTCTGCACCTGAGTTTCCTCTTCTGTAAAACAGGAATGACGAGACCTTCCTCACGGGGAAGTTGTGGGCAAACCACTACGGGCTTGATCCCAAAACTACGGTAGACAATGGAAAGACTTTCATTGACTTCAGCGGACTTTGGATCAGGTCCTATCTCACCCCAATGGGAGCAACGAACGTCTATGTAAAATCTGCAGTGTGAGACTTAGGCTCAGATAAACTGGACTACAAACATCACAGCCACTAACCTTTGCATGAAGTGCAGTTCAGAAAAGAAGAACGCTGACTAGTGTGAACAAGAATCAAATTATATGAGCTTTTTTGTTTGTTTTGTTTTTAAATCAGAGCTGGCTTCAGTGAGCAAATTATTTTCATATCTAGAAATTTCTTTTACCTGATTGGCTGGAAGTTTTCATCGTAGCCTCATTCTGGCTCCTGCTCTGCCCTATCAGGCCACTGGTAGCATTACTAGTTCCTGATAAGGCGGAGGTTTCTCCTGAAAACTTCTCTGATACTCGAGTTATTGCAGTAACAGGAAGGTGGGGCATCCGTAAGGTTACTGCAGGGGCATGTTCCTCGGGGGACGAGTTTGACATCTGAAGGGAAGAGGTCACTTCCTGTGAGACTTTTGCCTGACCTACGGTATTAAAGGAAACAAAGAGAGAGCAAAAACTTTTATTGACAGATATCTTTAAAAATACAACACAATATCTATGCACCAGGGCTTTATTTAATTTTATTTTAGGAAAGACTGGAATAACAATCCAATTTTCCCCTAGCCGATTATGTCATTTATTGCACAGACTCAGATGTAAATTAGAAGTAACTGATCATATTCTACTCTTTAATATTCTTAATTAGAAAAGCTTCTTCAGATGACTAGTCTACTATGTTTCCTTTTAGGGCCACTAAGTCTAGTGCCCTACTGCTGGGGGTTAGGAGGCAGGACTCCTTTGTTGTTTCTTGGTTTACTTAAACAGTCGGTGCCTCAGTTTCCTCTTCTGAGAAATAGAGATAATAAGACCTTTCCCACAGACAGGTGGTGAGAGTTAATTAATAGTTTGCAAAGTCATTTGAAATGTATGGACAGGAAGACATTCAGAATAAAAAGTCCTATTACCGTAATTGGAAGTCATGCTGATGATGGGTCTTAGGGCCCGATTCTGCAGACCCTTAGGCACATGCTTAACAAATGAATGGTTACTACTCATGGTAATAAAATCAAGCATATACCTAAGTGTTTCAGGATCAGGGCCTTAGTACAGTATTCGTGGTGAAACAGTTCCAGAGTAAGACACTGGCGACATTAGAGAGCTGCTCAGTACCTGAGAGAACTGAGCTTTTGACCAGCAGCAATATTTTGCATTCAAAGTCGATCTTAAAAAGACTCATTTCAAGCATTTCTTTCCTCTTACCTGCCAAAGACTGGTGTCCGTTTTCAACTATGGAGGAATTAGAAACTCTTCTAGTCTCAGGTTCGTTGTGGTCATCCAGGTCCACGCTCTGCCAAAACATTACACGCAATACTTGAACGATGGTCTGGCTTTCAAATTATTAATGGTAGTCGTCGCTGTAGCACCCACAGGCCTAACTGAGATCAGGTCCCATTGTGATAGTCTCCATGCAAGAGAGTGGGAGACAGCCCCTACCCCCAAAAGCCAAATCATTCAGGATCACACTGATTATCTGAACGGTCTGGCTGCTGCCCACTGCAAAAGGAGCGCTGGTGATAAAGGACTAAATCCAACCCTCGGATACGCAGCCAAGGGCAGATTGGCCCAGTGCAGAAAGGAGGGGTCTCCAGTGCTTAATTTTTGCCCCGGCACCTCTAGGCTTGGCAGTTCAGAGCCCCGACTACTCTGGGCTTGCTGCCTCAGTTATGAATGTAAAAAAATTGCTTGAGCCCCAGCATCTCTTTCATGACAAATTAAGCTCTGGGGGTTTCCCTTCCTGTATAGAGGATACACTATGCTCAGGTGGGGAACTTTCTGTAATCACAGGGGGCATCACACAGGTCAATGTCTGCCTTTTCCACCCTCTGTTACTTTAATACATTGGAAGTTCTGGTGCTCCTCCCCCCGCTCTCCCGATCTTCCAGAGTTGTATTGTGACTTAAAACAAAGCCCTCTGCTACACGGAAAGGATGGGCTGTTTCAGAACTAAGTCTGACATGCTTGTAATATTAGCAAATACCACTGCCATCCACTTGTGGGGAACTGTAGGTGAGCACATCTGCTGTTAATTTAACACAGTGTGGAAAATAAAGCCTGATCATGCTCCAAGTGAAATCAATGGCAAAACTTCTGTTGATTTCTTTGGGAGCAGAAGCAGGACCAGAATCAGTGCTGTCTACCTTAAATCAGTGCTATGCGCACCACGGATGAAATTCGGCTCCACTGAAATCAATGGCACAACTCCCATGGACTTGAAATGTGCCAAGAGCTCACCCCAGGACAAGAGACGTGCAGTCTGTACCTTTCAGTGAACTGAGTGTGATCTTTTTCACAGATGCACATACCAGTCATGTGTCACAGTTCTTCTGTACAAAATTAGTTTATTCTGCTCTATAGCTCACTTTGTCATGTCTTCGAATGATTCTGCGCTGTCTTCAACACAATATCTCCGTCCTGCGAGAAAGCTACAGCATGTGCATATCTCTACAGACGTGAATAGTTCTGTTGAAGCCAGTCGGACCAGTCACATGTATAAAGTTAAGCCTTTGCAGGATCAGGGCCTAAAAGAGGTGCTGGGTGTTTAGGGTGCTCAGCACCTCACAAAATCAGACCCAGGATTTGCATGCACACTATGAAAATAAATGCAGAAACAGAGTGAGGGCCCAATTCTGCAAGCACTGATGCAGATGTAAAACTTCACTAAATTGAATGGCCCCATCCACTTAAACAGGTCTACTCCTGTGAGTAAAGTTAGTCACACGCATCAGGATTGACTGCAGGAGTGAGGCCCAAGTTATTACAGCAGTATCCCAGTAAATCTATTCCCCCTCCTGTACAGGATGGGCAAAATAAAAGGCAACTTTTTCTCCACACATACAATCTAGTTGCTGATTCTAACTTATTGTAAGTCTAAATCCTAACCTAGTATTTTTACCTTAGGAATGATTTAATGGCCTTTATGTAAAAGCAGTGGTATAATTTATGACCAGTAAAAGTTTTCCACTGGGACAAGCTGTGGAGTAAAGCCCATAACTCTTCTCAACATTAACTTGAAGAGTCCCTTATGTTTACACATGAATCTTCTTTATACAACATTTACAGGACATTGCATAAAACTGCTTAATGTTCTACACAAGTTCTCTCTACTTAAGGCAGATAAAATGACAGTCATTACAATTAGATGACATATGGAAAGAGTATTAGGGGAAAAGTAAATATCCTAGCACTTTATGACTGAGTTACCACTTACAACTTTTGAAATGTTGTTTTTGGAAAACGACATACTTTTTGATGTTTGCTAATTTAATTCCAGGCAAATGAGCCAAGAACGTTTTGTTTTTATCATCCAACAGAAAGTACGCAATTTTTGGTTGCAAGGGACCAAAAAAAGAATTTTTTTGCAGTCACATGATTACTTAGATTAAAAAAAGTTTGTGGTACTTATACCTGTTTATGGGAAACTGCGAGTTCCCTAAGTTAAAGTCCATGGGAAAGTTTGATGTCACTGTAAATAGACTTTACACCAGACTAGCCCAAAAGTTTTTTAAAAAATCTGCAACACATTTGTGTGTTTTCTCAATCTAAACAAATTATGAAAGAAAAAAAAGCAGTCAGTTGTGCAACTGGGTTGTCATATTAGATGTAAAAGTTATGTGTCAATTTCTCTCTCTCTGGATTCAGAGTGCAGGATTAAACAAAAGAAAAAATCCCACCAGAGGCAGGGTTGCCCACTCACATCATTTTATCCCAACCTTCACAATATTTGGTGTTTATCTTAAAGCTTCAGCTCCTGGAGGCAGGTGATTTTATGAGTCTCCATTTCCATTTTCTTTTTAAATGGAAATTTCTACCCATTATGGTTGTGGAGAAAAGCCTGAAAATGTGCACTGAGTGTGATCTAAAGATGCAGAAATCAGGAGACAAAGAAAAATAACTCCTAATTATTATTTTTTTAAAAAAATCATGATTAAGACAATGTTATGATTTTAGGGCCTGATTCATAACTTGTGAACTCTTGAAGTTGGCAAAACTGCAGAGGGGCATACTCTATTCCCTGTTACACTAGTGCAAATCTGGAGCAACTCAATGGATTGAATGGTGTTCCCAGAATTTACCCCCAGTGTTACTCAGAGCAGAGTTTAGCCCAACATGTAGGGCTTTATTGTTTACACTTTTGACAGCGTGTAGGATAGGGGTAGCTATATACCACAGTGAAAAGCAGGCTGCATCCACACTGCGGTGTGTAGCTACACACGGCAGTGAAAGGCTCTGGCAGGACAGAGGGCAGCAGGACACTACACTGCTAAAAATAGTGTAGACATAGGCGGCACTGCTTGGACGTATAGAGCGAGCCATGTAGGATATATATACTCTCAGCTTCTGGTGTGTCTGTACTCTATTTGCCTAAGCAGTGCCTCACCATCGACACTGCTATTTATACCTGGGCTAGGTGGGTGTGCAGTATCTGTATTGCTACACTCCGCTGTAAATGTAGACATAGCCTAGAATGCTGTTAACTTATACATCATTAGCCAATGTAAATCAGCATAGCTCCATAACACTCACTCATTCACAGCAGCTGAGGATCTGGCCTCAGATGTTATAAACAAACACATTTTACCTCTGTTGCTATTAGCACATTATTAGAAGTGACAGAATTTTAAAAATCCAAATTCCTTGCCACTAGTTATTCACTTATTGTGATTTATACAAAATGTTAGAGAAGCCAGCCTTGACAATGAGAAAAGTTAAGCTGAGGCATAGGGTACGTCCAGACTATCCGTCGTATCGGCGGGTAGCGATAGATTTATCGGGGATCGATATATCGTGTCTTGTTAAGACACGATATATCGATCCCCGAACACGCTCCCTGTCAACTCCAGAACTCCACCGGAGCAAGTGGCGGTAGCAGAGTCGACGGGGGAGCCGTGGCCATCAATCCCGCGCTGTGAGGATGGGAGGTAAGTCGGAATAAGATATGTGGACTTCAGCTACGGTATTCCCATAGCTGAAGTTGCGTATCTTACATCGACCCCCCGCCCCACAGTGTAGACCAGGCCTTAAGTAGTTAGCCCATTTGGGCCTGTGCACACAACACCTTGCAGAATTGAACCCTAAGGCTCATTTTAAAATAAAAAAGGCCAGGTTGTAACATAAATGGGGACACCTCTGACTTGTGTTCTGTCCATTAGCCAAGCTTTCTGCTTTGGCTTTTGCTATACAGTAAGTTACTTTGCACAGATGTTAATCATGTTGCTTAATCCACTACTGGAAGACACTCAAATACTATGGTAATGAGGGTGGTATAAGAACCTATACAGAATAGAAAGGAAAGAGGCAGCACACAGGTAAGTAATAATTTCCCCCTGCATCCACATTTGGTTTTCACATGGAGGAAATCAAACTGATGGTTTGATTTCACATAGTTATGCTGTGGCTTCATAATAAACTATTAAAATAATTCATTAGTGGTGCGGGGGAAAAAACACATTGCACGTAAAATGCAGAAACCAAACAATCAACCCAAGTTAAGTCTGCAGAAAACATGGTTTCCTGGCCCTTATTTGATTTTTAGCATACCTCTATTTATCCTCGCCCATTGTATACTAAGAACATGGGACAAGGACCTTTCCTGCCTTACAGTTAGTTTTTAAATCAAGCACATTCTTTGTCTTCGGTGTTAATTCACTGGGAATTTCCATTGTATTTTCCACTACCTGAGATGTTTATAGTTTTACTAGTCCTAATCCAAATCCTCACCAGCTCATAATGATCTGTTCTAGGGGTTGGGGTCCCATCTGCACTTTATACCCTACAATGTCAGGTGACCCCATTATAATGGTAGTTTAAGTGCAATTTGGGCACAAAGTATAAAATTATGGTTAAAATTCTACACTACTAAAGTCAGTGGAAGCCTTTCCATTGAGTTCAGTGCGAATTGGTTTGGGCCCTATATTCCCAATCATGACTGAACCTTATGCTTTGCAAGACTATGGCACAATTTGGGAACACAGTTACAATTTTAAAAAGTGGCTTGTGATTTTGGGTGCCCAGCCTGAGACACTGTTAAAGGGATCTGATTTTCCAAAAGCCCCCAAAGTCACTAGTCACTTGAAAATCCTGCCCCACGCTCACAAGGAATTAGAATTGTGATCAAAACTAAGGTCCTGATCCCAGTAAAGCACTTAAGCACACGTTCAGCTTTAAGCACCTGGGCACCCCCATTGTTGTCACATGCTTAAAGTTATAAGGCTATTTCACATTCTTAAAGTTACACGTGTGTTTATATACTTTGTTGGATCAAGGCCTGAGGTATAAAAGAATGTGCCAACATATTCCCCAAACTGTTTACCATCAATCTACATAAGCAACACATGCCTCCTTCGTTAGTTTAATGCGCTTATGAAAAGGCACCATTGGTTTTTACCACTACTTTGTTTACAGCTTCAATAACAAGAGTGACACACGCTCAGATTTTCCTTGGTTGCCACATCAAAATCCGCTTGGCTCCTGGGATTTTAGGATGGTCACACGCAACAACGGTTTTATCCTCCCTGGAGGTACATCTCCCAGCTCCATGCTGAGATGCTGCTGTGTACTGGATCTGTGCACAGGAAACTTTTGTTCACTACTTTATTAGTAAGAAATGTAGACAGGAGAAAATAATTCCCATAAAAGTTTGTGTGTTTGGAAGCTCTCACTTTTTTCCAGCATCCAAACTTTCTTAAAAGCATCCGAGCTGTTCTAGGGCCAGGGCTGGCTCCAGGCACCAGTGCAGAAAGCAGGTGCTTGGGGCAGCCAATGGAAAGGGGTGGCACGTCCTGGTCTTCGGCAGCAATTCGGTGGCGGGTCCCTCTCAGAGGGAAGGACCAGCCGCCAAATTGCTGCCGAAGAATAAAGCAGCACGGTAGAGCTGCCACCAAAGTGCCACCAATCGCGGTTTTATCTTTTTTTTTTTTTCGTCCGCTTGGGGCAGCAAAAAAGCTGGAGCCGGCCCTGTCTAGAGCCATCTATGCTACCCGGGGTCAGATTTTTAAAAGAGCTCTGCTCCCATACAGACACCTAACTAAGGGGCCTATTTTCAAAGGAGCTCATACCCACAGGTGGGGCTCTTCAGAATTACACGTAATTTGGTCTCCAAATGGGTGCTGGGCTCTTTAGAAAATCCGGCCCTTAGACTTTGCGTTCTACAGCATATCAAATATAGCGGGAAAATGGCATCTTTAACAAAATATTATTTTGTCCCTCCTCATCATCAAAAATAATAACATTTTGCTGCTAATACTGGAGCACCTATTATTCCCTAGGTGAACGTTTCTTTGTACTTACATGGCAAAAATGAGACTGCATCTGACTTATTCCTGCTACACTAAATCGGTAACATTGTACACGGACCTCATCATTTTTTTAAAAATAAAAAATTGTTGGGAAACTTCTCTGTACTCTGAGAGTAGCAGCAGTTAGTTTGCATGAATAAACACAGTGACCAGCCAGGATTCATTGGAGAAAAGTACAACAAACATCATCCTTCATCAGCCCTATTTTTATTCTGTCTTGATGCCGTACAAAACAAGGAGGGCCAGCTCCTCAACCGCTGTACGTTGGAGTTGCTCTAGTGACGTCCATGGAGCTACATTGGTTGACATCAGCTGAGAATCCGGCTTATAAGATTTTGCCCTATAAGGGCCAAGTCGTGACATTCTTATTCAGGGAAGTCTCTTGTTTCATTGATTGTACTCAGTGGGAGCTATGCCTTAGGAAGGACTGAGTGGCCTGACCTTGTTCTCCTCGGGGTGCTAGTCACCCCTGAGCATGGCGCCAGCATAAGGCTGATGTGCTGCTTAAGTGGCAAAGAGAATTTCACTCACTGTCTTCAGCGCAAGCTAGATCAGGCCCTGACTAAGGGACAGCTTTGATTCCCAGAGTCTACATCTTACAGTGATGCTGTCAAAAGATGAGAAGCAATTTTAAATGTTTATGCTCTGATGGGGCCTGGTCTCTAGACTCAAAACGTGTCTTTTTAAGAGCAAAATGCACCAGCCTTGTCAATGAGAAATTAAAAGCCAACCCAAGAAAAAGCAAAATAAAGAGATCCAGAATGTTCAGAGCCAGCTGGCATTTGAAGAGACTATTTAAAAAACAAACAAAATACCGTTTTTAAAAATTGGAGAATTGAGTCACTATTTTCTTGCTAACTCCTGCTAATGGTGCCCAGTCCCGCAAAGTACGGTGTGCCCCACAAGAAGGGGGATCAGCACTCTCATTGGACAAGGTGCTCGTTCTCAGGCGGTGCTCAGCATTCTCATTGGACGTGGTGCTCCCTCTGCGGCGGTGCTCAGCATTCCCATTGGACGTGGTGTTCCCTCTCCAGTGGTGCAAAGTACTCCCATTGGACGTGGTGCTCCCTCTGCAGCAGAGTTCAGCACTCCCATTGGACGTGGTGCTCCCTCTCAGGCAATGCTCAGCACTCCCATTGGATGAGGTGCTCCCTCTCAGCACCATGCAGTAACAAGCCCCAGGGTCCAAATGTGCTATTATCCACTAAAATCCATGGTAAGCATGGAACCAGAAGTGAGTGGCCTTCAACAACATGGAGCATCGTCACCTTGAGGACTGGAGTGTTTTACCAAGGCTCTGTGCACTGATGTCTAAAGAGCATGCCGCCCTCCACCCATTACTGACTTAGGCCCTGGTCCAGCAAAGCACTTAAGCAATGTGCTTAACTGCAATGCAACTGCTCATGTGTTTGAAAGTAATTATGTGATAAGTGTAAACAGGCAGTCCCCAGGCCCAGTGCAGCTCTCAATTACGCCGATGTAAAACTGGAGCAACACCACTGACTTTAGTGAAGTAACTCCACATTTGCGCTGCTGGGGGGGAACACCATTTGTTTCCTGGGGGTTGCCTAGAGACAGCTTTTTGGGGCTTGCACTTGTTCTTGGCCCTAGGGAGGGGTGAGGGAAAGGGCTATCGCACTCTGGCACCAGCCAGAGACAGTCTGACCCTAAATAATGGCCCATCTGTCCTGCAGATTTCAACAGGTTGTAAAGTGGACTCCACACATGGTTCCCATCCGCACAAGTCACAATTAGCATGTGGGCCCAATCCTTGGCGTAGCTCCATTGATTTCAGTGACGTCACATCCGTGCCGATGGTGGCGCACAGTCGCTAACGTGTCGGAGGTCCCGTGTTTTGACCATGCAGTGAGCAGATATGTACCATGGTGGTCAGGCTATGCCCTGGTGTTCTGACTTTTGCTGCCAGGATGTTTGCCTCCTCTCTGGTGCTGCACGAGGCAGCATGCAATCTGGGTTCAAGATCACACTTCGCTCGATAGCGCTGCAGAGCACTTATTATTGATGACAACCTCCTCCCGAATGCTGAGCTGCTGTTGCTGTGTTTGGGTGGGGTTTTCACAAGTGCTCAGTACTGGCCTAATTCTGCTCTGATGGAAGTGAATGGTTAAGCTCTGATCAGCTTCAGTGGGAGCAAAGGAAACCAATACTGAGTGCTTCTGAAAATCCCAACCTTTTATAATACATTTGTAAAAACCACTGACTTTTTTTTTCTTTTCTTTTCTTTTTAAGGAAAACCCACAAATAATTCCACAAGCTTTGCAAACTGACACAAAAAAGGTAGGTCAGTTCTGGGTCCTTCTACCCTTGATAATGTCAGTTTACAAACTGTAGGGAATAATATTCTCATCTGACAAAATATTGACATGACTTGTTTGCCACAGATGAGGCAAGCAGAATCGGAGTTACAAAAACACCCCCATGATGCTGTATCTGCAAGATAAATAACAGCAAACCTCCACTGAAACAGAAAGTGCAGCTAACCCAAGTGTTCCTCTATAGCATGCGCATTGCTTTGGCAGGCACAGAAATGGATGCCTCCCACAGTGGACACACTCACTTTCTCCAATTTGCAACAACTCAAACACAGTTTAGTTAGGGAAAGGTGAAATCCTGGTCCCACTGAAGTCAAAGATAAAATTCCTGTTGACTTCAATGGGGCTGGAATTTCACTCACTTTGTACCAAGTGGCCGGATTGAATTTTGTTTTTAAATGCCAAAGGACACTCTGGTGCCACTGTTCTCTGTACAGAACTCACAGTGACTTTGATGGGAGCGACTGGCCCTTGGCTGGTAAATGTGCAGAATGGATTTTTCATTGTTGGTGAGAGTTGTTCAAGGGGGTCTTTATCTGCTAGCATCCCCCTTGCAGAGGCTTTCCCACCTGCCTCCGTCCTCCCCTCTGCCGTCACACCCAACTCTGCATTTGTCAAGTCCATGTCAGGACCAATCCCTCCTGAATGGGTCCTCAATAGACTCTGCCCCTGTGGATAAAGGGGAAGCAGAAGTTCCATGGCTTGAGTAGGGGCTAATCAGCTCTAGTTTTCCAGGATTTAGGAGTTTCTTTAAGAGCCCCTAGATGGGATACACGGGGGGAACCCAGGCCCACCCACTCCACTTGGTTCCAGCTCAGGGCTCTTGTCACGGACAGCCAAACCAGGCGTCCCCTCAAACCCTTGGTGTTCCCTGAGCTACTTCCTACCTCTGTAATCTTCCCCACAGCGTCTCCCTCTTTGGTGGGTTGGTTTGTCTAGCTGCGTCTCACCTCTCTCTGGGATCCTCTCTCTGCAGTCCCTCTGTCCCTTTGGCAGCCTCCCTGCCTGCCTGTCTTGCTGCCCTTTTATCTTCACAGCACAGCTGCCATGTGGGTCTGCCAATCAGCTCTGGGTGAGCAGACAGGCAGTTGCTTTGTCCGCTGAACCAGCATGGGGTACATAGACCACATGAGACCTACGAATAGCACAGTTGTAACCTGAATGTGTGTAAGAGGGAACTGGTTGTCTATGAGTCAGGGTTCCATTCCCAGCCTTCCCGTGGATTTCCTCTGTGACCCCAGGCAAGTCACTTGTGCTGAAGTTTTCAAAAGTAGCCTCTACTTTTGAGTGCCCAACTGTAGATCCTGGGGGGCTGGTTTTCCTAGGTGCTAAGCCCCTGCAGCTCCCACTGATTTCAGCTGGAGTTATGAGTGCTCAATAGCTCTGAAATGTAAACTCCAGGTGTCCAGAGCTGGGCATCCCAAATTTCATGCACTCAAATTTAAAGACCACTTTTGAGAATGCGTTTCTCCTCCTGTGTAAAACAATACTTTCCTACCGCCCAGGGACACTGGGAAACGACCCCTGGATGGAAGGTACAATTATAATGAGAGCCTGGCGATTGACAGAGCTGCTCCAAATCCTTCCGCTCTCTCTGTGCTGCAGGAGCTCCCCTGCACTCAGATGAAATGGTTTTGTTTTAAAGCCTCATCAGAAAGGTTCCTTTCAGCCCTGGTAGGAACACAGGTGATGATGACATCGCTCTCCAAGGAATGTGCTGCCTGGGGTTGCTATATGGTTTGGAAAAGCTGAGAGAACAAACATCTGTCTGAGACACCCTGAGAGACACTTAATTATATGCTCAGAAAATTGCCTTTTCAGCCTAGAGCTGTCAATCTCTCTCAAATCCATATTTACCAAGACACCGGCGCCCCAGTTAAAAAGAAGTCATTCTTTTTAAAATGAACACTTAGAAAGAAACGGATTCCAGACGGAGGTAGGGGTTGATTCTGATGCACCCGACGACGGCTGAGAATAGGTCAGTGAATTCACTGACAGCAGCAAGACAGAATTCAGGCAGATTAGGCATTATTCTTTGCAGACAATGCATTATCCTACCCATTAGACTGACTTCCTACCATGCTGACCGTTGTTCCGCAGATTTATTGTAGGCACACGTGATAATTACAGTGTCCCATGTATCAGTTTAGTGTGGGGGAAACTGAGGTAGTGTTAAAGGAGAAGCTGGCTTTGTGGTTAAGATAGTGATCTGGGATTCAGGAGATCTGGCTTCAATTTCTGGTGCTATCCAGGCAGAGTACTGCTATTTAGATGCCTCACTGGGAGCTGAGCAATTCTGAACATTTGGTGGTTAGCACTTGAAAATCTATCCCTGGGCTCTTTGGAAACTTTGGCCTTTAACCTCTCCATGTCTCAGTTCCCCATCTCTGACACGGGGAGAGCAATATTGCCTTTGTCTGTCTTACCTATTTAGATCATCGGTTCTTGGGGCTGTCTCTGATATGCCATACGTATGTAAATCAGACCCTGGGACAATGGAGTGCCAATGTTGGTTGGGGGCTCTGAGCGCTATTGGGATGCACAGAATAATGATGGGGGTGGGAGAGAAGAGCTGATTACAGGAGAGGAGAAGCAGCGCCAGCTCCTGAGTTCTGTGCCTGACTCCACCCCTAGGTGCATCCCATAATCTCTCTTTGCCTGCTGCCAACTCCAGTGATGCAATTGTTAGTCTCTTGATAGCTGGTGTTTTTATGAAAGTCCCCTCTCCTGGAGGCATAAGATTCAGTGACAGTATGAGGTTCCCTTTAAAAAAAGGTAAGCCTCTAACATTCGTGGTTGCAGAGACAGGCTTGAAAATGTGACCTCAGGGCAGCCTCGAGGCTCAGAAACCAGAGGGCAAATCAAAAGAACCCAACATGTGTTATTTTTTAGAAAATCTCATGACTGAGGGGGGCCTGACTCATGATTTTTGAACATTTGGCATTGGCGATATGGCATAACGGTGCTTTGAACTTCTCTAACTGCTTCCACCGGAGGAGCTTTAAGTGCTTTGCAAACTTTAATGAAATGAGCTTCCCAGCAGCCCAGTGAGGTTGCAAAATGTTATCATCCCCACTTTACTGCTGGGCAACAGGCACTGAAAACAACAGCAAGACTCCAAGGGATTTCAACCGTGCCGATAATTCATCCTCTATGCCTGGCATATCACAGATCACTTATACTACAGAAAAGGGGGAAGGCACAAGAGATGGAGGGAACACAAGCAGGCGAGGAAGACGCATGACATGGTCATTCCCTCTTAAGTCTTGTATCAGAGTAAGAAGCCATTAAAGAAAATGATCTATTAGATAACACTAATATTCTCCAGCAGCAAATGACCCTGCAGCTTTGAAAAAGCCCTCAGCCGTGAATGTATTAGCACTGCTACTGTCCTTGGAATTATCTCCCAAGAGATGAGGCAGAAGCCCGTTTCTTGGCACCTTTTTAAAGCTAGACTGGCGAAAATAGTAGTAAGTGTAGAACAGGGCGCAACCCTGCACTGGCAGAGTGGTGGACTACATGGTCTACTAGCTCTTTTCCAGCACTAGGCCAAATTTTGTTCTAAGCTGCTCCAATGTGAATCTGGAGAAACTGCACCTGGGTCAGTGGGGTTTCTCCCAGTTTGGAGCTGAGAGCTAAACTTGACCCTATGATTCCATGACAACATCAACAGGAAGCTTATTCCTTACTCCTCCTTTAGGTTTTCCCCATCTGCTTTTCTAAAACACTGTGCATGCCATATACAAAAGGCAATTGGTCTACATGGCACGTTGGGAAGAAAACTCTATTATCCAGGTTTTCTGTAGCAAACACAAGAATGTAGATTTCATAGTGTTTAAGGTCAGAAAGGACCATTCGATGGTCTACTGCAGTGGTGGGCAACCTGCAGCCCGCGGGCCACACGTGGCCCGTCAGGGTAATCGCTGGCGGGCCGCAAGGCAGTTTGTTTACACTGACCATCTGCGGGCACAGCCGCCACAGCTCCCAGTGGCTGCAGTTCGCTGTTCTCGGCCAATGGGAGCTGCAGGAAGCAGTGCGGGCCACAGGGATGTGCTGGACGCTGCTTCCTGACACTCCCATTAGCTGGGAACGGCGAAGCGCGGCCACTGGGAGCTGGGGGTGGCTGTGCCTGCGGATGGTCAATGTAAACCAACTGTGGCACGGCCCACTGGCAGATTACCCTGACGGGCTGCATGTGGCCCACGGGCTGGCTGCAGGTTGCCCACTAGTGGTCTACTGTGTCTTTCTATATATCACAGGCAGGGCCGGCTCTAGGATTTTTGCCGCCCCAAGCGAAAACAATTTTGGCTGCCCCTCCGCCCCGTTTTTTTCTTACCCCACCCCCGGCCCTGCCTCAACTCCGCCCCTTCCCCAAATCCCCAGCCCTGCCTCCTCCCCCCAGGCTCTCAAGCCCCAGGAGGGAGGGAGAGGGAGAAGCAGCGCGTGCGCCGCGGCCACTCAGGGTCTCCCCCTCCCTCCCAGGCTCTCAAACCTGGGAGGGAGGGGAGCAGCGGCGCGCGAATCAGCTGTTTCGCGCGCCACGTCCGCTCGGGATCTCCCCCTCATTCCCGGGTTTGAGAGCCTGGGAGGGAGGGCGAGCAGCGGTGCGCGAGCGGCAGCAGCGGAGGTGAGTTAGGGCGGCCGGGGCACATTTTTAGGGGCGGCATGGCCCGCGCCAGAATGCCGCCCCTAAAAATGTGCCGCCCCAAGCACCAGCTTGTTTTGCTGGTGCCTAGAGCAGGCCCTGATCACAGACCATTAAATTTCACTGGGTTACCCATACAGAGCCATCTCTTTACAGCAAACCATTCGATAACTGCAAATGCAAGACAAGCTGATCTTCTGCCAACCCAACTAGATACCCTGTCACCAGAGTTAGGGGTGGCAAATGACAATTAGGTCATCTGGTTCAGGAAATATTGACCAGGTGAAGCTCCAGCCCACATAACTTTGTGGGCAATGCTTTGCAAACAGATCTTCCTGAGCATGGCTTTTGTAACGATGCAAGAGGAATGGTGGGAGAGGCACTCCTCATCCGATGCCACCAGTTGTATTCGATAGAAAGCCCTGCCAGCTGTCCCAAGGCCTTTCCGAGAAGGGACATACAAGCAAGGAGTTACCGTGGTCCCTGACTCAGCCAAGCTTGTTTGCCAGTTGGAGTGCAGAAAGCATGTGGCGCATGCCGGCGGAACACTGGAGTGACTCATGAAGTTGCTGCCATGCATTCGGTGGACGGCATGTTAAACACGATGAAAGGGGACTCTCCTACAACAGAATCCAAAAAGAACACTGTTGCTACATTTTTAGACTATCCTATTCAGACAGGCGCGGAGCCCAACTACAAACACTTCAGAAAGATCATCCGCGATAGGGTTACCACCGGCATGTCAGAGGTGATTAGTGAGAAAGGACAGAGGACTTCTTCTTCCACTAACAATCAGAGGTAGGTAGGGGAGGAATGCAGGGATTAAAAAATCTGACAAACAGCAACAGATTTCCCAACAAGGAGCTGATCGTCTGCTGTTGCTCCAGCAGCCTGCTTTTAAAATCATCCTTCAAACACATGACATTCTTCTCCACCTTCACAACAGTGGTTCCCAGATTTGGGTCCATTAGGGTGTCAAATAAAAGTTTGGTGCCAAGAAACCGGATCACTGGCAGAAGCAGGG